AAGTTGGGAAAGCTCAGAGACCATTTTATCGTGAACTGTGACTTTAAGTAGGAGAAGCAGTTGCATTATCTTTTCAGAAAAGTCTTATAAAAGATTCCTTTCAAGAAGAGAAGTCCAGTAAACGCTTGGATACATATCGAGGTGTCCGAAAACTTTTATCCAGGTGTCCGAAAACTTTTAGATTTTTTTTGGCTTTTTTGTTGGGCTGGTCCTTGTAGTATTTTATCTGACTATCACAAGTTGAAGACCCAGAACAAGTTGCGAGACAATATTGTGCTGAAATTCTGAAATTTCCTAAAATACCCTAGTGAAGACAGGCCCAAGATTTCATATGTCTGAAGTCGCTCACTGCAGTGGCGGCATCCCCATGATAACAGTGGCATACATGAGAACTCGGGAAACATATGATGTAAAAAATGGTACAGCAGCCTGAAACGATGTATTTTTACTTGGAAGAAAATATCAAAATGGACCGGACCATATTCAAAATATACTCGACGTCCCACTATTGTACCTGCACTGCCAAAGCTTTTAGCAGCTGAGTCTGCAGCGCTTTCGACTTTTGACTCATGGAACTTTTCTTCAGTGTTCGATACATTTCGACACCACAGAACAACATAAGGCCAAAAGTGATTACCATCATCACAATAATTAAGCTCAGACCTAGAGTTGATAGCCAGTAGATAGTCGTAATGCCTTCAACCACTTTCTGAAAAAGGCGAAATCAGTTTGTTATCGGTGTTCGGTCTCATCACGTTTGTTCAAAACATACATGGGTAAAGATGCAGAAGAAGGACAGACTGTGAGCTTCCACTCCAAACTTTGCATAGATCGATGAATTAGCATAATCATAATAATCGTCGGTAGCGGCAAAACAGTAGAACGTTATAAAACCATAGACGAAACCCCATGAAAGTACCGATAAGGTAACGGCAGATACAGAAGCACTATCTTCGAAGATATGCAGTAACTTATGCCTGAAATATCCCCACACATACTCATATTCCGCCCTTTATTTCAAAAAAAGCGGTCATTCTGGAGCGGTACCAACCTGCATAAGGCAACGTATCGGTATACGAAATGAAGGGTCAAAAGAGCCGTGTTGACGCCATACATTGTCATAAAAATACAGAGCGAAATGAAACCCCATGGCTTCATTGAATGGAAAAATCCGCAGCTGAACGTCATCAGAGAAGTACCGTAAATGAAGACGCCCTAAATCATTAGGAACTTGTGGAATTACAGGGGGAATCAGGGAAACCAAAAAAGGCGTTTCCTTCTGTAGCCCGTCTGTCATTCATCATTAGTTCTCATTTTTGGTTAATATCTATTCTAATTCTGACCCTTCTTAGTTTGTGAAGAGTTCGAGGGAACTTTGACAGTGCTAGTTACAGTTTCTTTATTTTATTAGGCTGTTCGGAAGGAAATGCGCGTTTGAGCTCAAAATTTTTTTGTCATAAAATCGAAACTAAACAAGATCAATTCAAAGGATAATCTCCATTACTATCAATGACTTACTGCCAACGTTTACGCAAGGAGTGGACTCCTCTTCCGAAGAGCTCGGCTGCAATTCAAAATAACTGGATCCAGAGTTGGACTTCTTCGCAGTTTTTGAGCTTTTTGTTGGCCAGGGGGTGCTGCATCGACCGGAACAGATGGTAATCGGATGGTGCCAGATCTAGGCTGTGTGGCGGATGGGCAGGACTTCCCAGCCCCTACCCCTCGATTTTTTCCAGAATGATTTTCGCGATCCATACCTGCGACCCGACCCGCGGCGCGACGGTGCGATACCCATTTCCGCACCTGTTCGTCTTGCCAATTGCCAGCACATGTTCATGGATGGTAGAGTTTGAGCAGCCAGAATGCACCGTCAGTTCTCGAGTGGTTTGGCGTGGATCCCATTCAATGACAGACGTTAACACTTGGTTATCGGCGACTTGAGGCCAACTTCATTGTTCTTCAATCACTACCTTTCATTACCGTTTTGAAACGCTAGAACCATCTGAACACTGGCTTCCTGACAGGACGTCTTCGCCAAATACCTCAGATGATGAGTTTCAGCAGCAGATTTGCATTGCTTGAAGTCGTACCACATGCAAGCTCGCAGAAGGAATTTTTGGTCAAGCATTTCCTAAACTTTTTTCTTCGAAAGAAAACAAAGTGGACATAAACAAATATATATCAAAAGAGGCGCATCGAAAATCTCTTTCTTATAGATGAAACTGTTTGAAAAATCATTCAACGCGCATTCCTTCCCGAACAACCTAATAGTTACAGTTCCTTAGATGGTAATAGCAAATGCCATTCAGTGTTGTCAGCATACACTCTTTGTCGGCTACTTTCTCAGTTTAAGTGATCTCATAAATCTTTCTTGACAGTCTCCATCTTCGTCGTGGTTTCAAAAAAACTTACTGGTTTTGCACTGAATTCCATAGATGCAAAAATGATATTACATATTGCAAAAGAAATCAAGATATGTTTGTAGGCTTGGCCGACAGCGCTCCTTGTTCCATTTCTAATCATATAGATGAAGATGATGTTCAGTACCGTTGCCGATACGAATATGCTTGTAGAGGCAATAGCAACAATTTCTTCCACCTCTTTCATTGTATCTGAAAGCGATTTCAAAAAAATGTAAAGAAAACTAGAACACTTGAGCATTCGTTCCACTAACTCTTTTTCTTCTTACCTGGTCTTGGAAACTCTTAATCTTGTCGCTTTTCACTCCTATTGTGGAGTTGTGAGTGGGTACGTGACCCGCACAACGACTCGCAGTTTTTTATCAACCGAAGTTTCGATCTCTAGATCATGTGGGTGATGTCACGTTACTTGTTCTTTCCTCACTTCATAACCTCCCAGTTTAGGAGGATGTAGGAATAGGCATCATGAAATTGCATGGCGCGATAAGACTGAAAATTAGATGGAACATTCGACTGAACTCCTTGGTTGGCATTATAAACAAATGTTACAAACAGCAAGCAGGGTAAGGGTCTCTTGTAAACTAAGAAAGTTGTTGTTTTCGTTTAAAGGCGGAGCTCATTACCGCTGCTAATTCTCACATATTTTCGTTGCACACAGCTATTTAGCTGAGCTCATTCAGCTATAATAGTAACTCATCATTTTTACAAATGGATGCAAAAAACAAATTGCATGTTAGATTTTGCAAGCATGGCAAAAATATTACTCTTCTAAATCATCGTACTCAATTGTTACCTACAACTAATGCAAACTACTTTAGGAATTACGCGAATGTCAAAGTAATACAAAGTAGCGAAAAGAACGCATCCGTGCAGTCTTAGTGCCCCTGTAGTGCGTGGGATGGTTTGCCTTGAAATCCTGTTGAATTTCTTTGCGATGACAGAGGCTGATTGACATGGATCTCTCCTCTCCTGCTGCGCAATATGGAGGTCAGCACTTGGTGTAGTTAGTCTTGGTCGACCATCTCCTCTCCTTCGGAGCAGACCAGAGGTTCGGAACGCTCTCTACGTGAAACAACGCTGGGAGCGATCCCGAGCTTTTGAGCTACACTGGGTATGGTTCGACCTACTCCGAGTTTCCCGATGATCCTTGAAATCATTCAGATGATGTCCGAGACATTATCTACTGAAGGTTCCACCACAGTACTTT